TCTGTCCTCCAGGACTGTGTGGTGAAGACCCCTCCTCCAAGGAGTTTGTCAGGAACAAGCTCTTAAAAGAGCTAAGTGACTCAAGCTCAGGGGAGCATGCAGAGCATAGCAATCCCCAGTGTGATTATAACAGCTCCCTCCAATAACGAGACAGGGCTACGTTTAGAGGGATCAAGAAGAACTGTCAAAACCTTTATTCCCTTGGGACCAGCCAATACAGTCACCACAATAACATTGTTGTGAAACCTCAATAAAATCACAAACAGTCAAACCATATCAAACAACACACAGTGACTTATCACAACACAATGGCACATTTTTAAAGGGGTAGGGGGAGACAATATTTAACAGTAATTATCTCACCTGCCTGCAGAATTAGCAATATGCAAATCTACCTGAATATGCAAATGAACCAGTCTTGCAATTCAGGTAGTGCATATTGCTGTTGCTACCAACAGAGGGCACTAGACAAGCTCCATAGCCAAACCCACCTAGTTGGTAGCAAACCTCAGCAATACAAGAGAGCAGGCAATACATTACACAGTACACACACACACACTATAAACAATTACATAACACACACCCTGCACCTATAATGGGTACAGGGTGACTAAAACATAAGATAAATAAAGCAGCCTACATAAATAGTCTGTCTGAAGGTAGACTAGGGGCTTTAAAGCCAGATACATGAAAGAGTCATAGTCACAGGGGAGGAGGCTGGCAAGTAGGCCTCTCCAGGACCAAGTGGCAAAGGGCACTTCGTCACACTGCCCTATTGTTATTTGTACCTTCTCCTGTTATTATGGAATTTAAATATTATAAAAGATAAGATCAGGGCAGTGATTGACTGTGGTTGCAGAGTCACTTCAACAGCTCAGCTCATCTCACACTGGTCTCTCATTGCTGAGTATAAACTCTGAATATGAACACAAAATTAACTTTTTATGTTAGTTCCCAGAGTATTCCTTTGAGTACTCCCACGTCAATCTCTTTTCTAGGTCACTGAGTCTACCATTAATACAACCCTTCAACCTTGGTGTTCTTTTGGAATTCAGCTTCTTATGTGCTATTCATATCCCATCCAATCTTCAAATTCTGCCCATTCCAAGTAAAAAACAAAACTCCCAATGGGAGATGCAACTAAAGTATTTGATCACAGATGAATAATGTTCCTTGGCTAAAATGGCTGGATGGGTTGATTTCCATAGGAGATTTCCCAATGGGCTCCTCTAGCCTGGTTCCAGATGCTATCAGGTTATCTGTGAAACTTTTCTTCAATAATACAAATTTCTTAATTGGATGTAGCATAGATGGGCGTAGATAAGGATGGGGAGGTGTGAAGCAGAGGCAACCAATCAACCATTTGCAATATGCTCAGTGCTTTGTTATGTCAGCCATGGTAACTGACATCATACTCCTCTTTTATTAAATAATGTCCAAAAATTATTAAAGTTTGACCTTCTGCATTAGTATAACAGTATATAATTGCAGGCTCCCGTAAACGGCTCGCTGTTATGGTTATGGTGCTTAGTGTCGTTAAAAATGCTTTTGAAAAAATTAGTCAGCTAGAATAAGGGTAAGCACAAACAATCTTCCTAAACAATTTCTGTTTAGTGAATATATTTGAACAATCATAAAAATTTTTAACATCTCACTGTATAATTAATAAATTGCAATTAATGATACACCGGATTCTTTTTAGTTGTAGACATCTAGTTTTATTTTTATTGTTTTAAAACCTTTTGGTAACTGCTTATGTTCTTGTAAATTGTCCTGAAGGCAGCAGATGCAGAAACCAGTTCTGAGTCTGTGAATATGTAGAGTATCCCAGTAAATCTTCCCACTTAGAAGTAGTCTAATCACTGTCAGGGCTGGTGCAAGGATTTTTGCCGTAGGCAAAATAAAAATTTGTCGCCCCCCATGTGACATTACAATGCCCTACCCATATGATCTGCCATGTGAACTAACGCCAGTGCTGCACATTAAAAAGCCTGTAGAGACAGGCTAGAGACACCAGAACCACTACATTAAGCTGGTGGTTCTGGGGACTATAGTGTCCCTTTAATGTAAGGTAAATTAGAGAGTAGTGCCATGTATAATATACTAGATTGCCTATTTACAACCAGATGAGGATAATGACAGGCTCTGGCTGCAGTCTGGCTCCAATGGTCTGGTGTAGAACAGGCTCTCTGGAGACTGTTTGTAACTGCGGTCACAAATATCAATATTCTGGGAGAATGGGAAGCAGCTCCATTTATTTAGGCTGTTTACAAGCTCAAGGTCTGGGCCCCAGGGCCTGATGGTGAGTATGCCCATAAGGCTCACCCATAAGTCCACCTACATGTTCCACCCATGAGTTTGCTCACAGGGGGTGGAGTGTGTGTTATGTGTTATTGTTGAGGATCTAAAGTGTGTGCTTATGGAATGTATAGGGATACCAGTTTGTGTAGGTGATGCAGTGTGTGTGTGTAGTGAATGCAGTGTGTGTTTGTGTGTAAGGGATGTATTGTGTGTTTCTGAATGTGTGTAAGGGATGCATTGTGTAATTCTGTGTTTGTATGTGTAAGGGATTCAAGATGTGTTTCTGTGTATGCAAGGCATGCAGTGTGCGTGTCTGTAAGGGATGCATTGAGTGTGTGTAAGGGGTGCATTGAGTGTGTGTAGTGTGAAATAGAGAGTTTGTGGGGTAGGATAGGGGCTGAGTCCTACCTGCCTCTTTGTCCTTCTCTTTCCCTCCTTCCTCAGCCTCTCTCCCTTCTTGTCCCTTAGTGCTCTCCCCTCCTGTCCCTTATTGCTCTCCCCTGCCCAACTGTCCCTTAGTGATCTCCCCTGTCCCTTAGTGATATCCCTGCCCCTTTTCCCTTAGTGCTCTCCCCTCCTGTCCCTTACTGCTGTATCCTGCCCCACTGTCTCTTATTGTTCTCCCCTGCCCCACTATCCCTTTGAGCTCTCCCCTGCCCCCAATCCCTTAGAGCTCTCCCCTGCCCCTTAGAGCTCTCCCCTCCCATCCCTTAGAGCTCTCCTCTGACATTGTTGGTCTCTTTTCCCCCACCCCATCCCTTATTGGTCTCTCCTCTCTCATGCCCCTCCCTAGTGATCTCCCTGCCCCCTTTCCCATAGTGCGCTTCCCTCCTGTCTCTAAGAGTTCCCCCCTCCTTACTCAGCCACTCTCCCCTCTTGTCCCTTAGTGCTCTCCCCTCCTGTCCCTTAGTGCTCTCCCCAACTGTCCCTTAGTGATCTCCCCTGTCCCTTATGTTACGGTTGCCTCCAGGCTGACTGGAAGATGGACCGTAGAAAGGATGCTCCTAGCGCTCACCAAAGGACCATAAGCACCGTAGACACTATAAGCACTGCAGACTCCACGAACTGCCGCTGCTGGGCTAGGAAGCCATGCATTCTGTCGAGGAATCTCTCCTCCATTTCAGCTGCTGTGCAAGGACTTGCTGGCTCCATGCTGCTGTAGGTAGGGACGCTGCGCAGTGGTTAGCGTTGCCCTCAATAATTCTCATATGATACCAGTGCTGTTGGGGTGCTGCTCCTTGCGCTAGGACGCCATACCACCGCTGCCACCAAATGTTACGGTTGCCTCCAGGCTGGCTGGAAGTTGGACTGTAGAAAGGGATGCTCCTAGCGCTCACCAAAGGACCATCAGCACCGTAGACACTATAAGCACTGCCGGCTCCACGAACTGCCGCTGCCGGGCTAGGATCTCGCTGTCTGCTATCCACCCTGGACCTACAACCAGGCTCCAGTAGGTGAACCTTTTCCTTCTGTAGAGCGAAGCAGGATCAGGAACAAGAACTCTTACAAGAGCTCAGTGGCTAAGGGAGTATGAAGAGCATAGCAATCCCTGTAGTGATTATAGCTGTCCCCTACAAACATGAGTCACGGCTGCAAGTTAGAGGGTCCAGTCATTCTGTTTTATTGGCACCAAAAGGACCTTCTTTTATGTAGGTTTTCCTTAGTGCGCTCCCCTCCTGTCCCTTATTGCTGTATCCTGCCCAACTATCCCTTATTGCTCTCCCCTGCCCACTGTCCCTTAGAGCTCTCCCCTGCCCCCAATCCCTTAGAGCTCTCCCCTGCCCCTTAGAGCTCTCCTCTGACGTTATTGGTCTCTTCTCCCCCACCCCATCCCTTATTGGTCTCTCCTCTCTCATGCCTCTCCCTAGTGTTCTCTCCTCCTGTCTCTAAGAGTTCCCCCCTCCTGTCCCTTAGTGTTCTCCCCTCCAATCCCTTAGAGCTCTCCCCTGCTCCCTGTCCTTTAGAGCTCTCCCTTCCGTCTCTTAGAGCTCTCCCCCTCCCCCTTAGTGTCTCTCCTCACCTGTCCCTTAATGGTCTCTCCTCTCCACCACCCCATTAGTCGTCTCTACTCCCCCCTCCTTAGTGGTCTCTCCTCTTATCCCCCCTTTCCATTAATGGTCTCTCCTCTCCCTCCACCCTTAGTGGTCTCTCCTCTTCCCCCACCCTTACTGGTCTCTCCTCACCCTCCCTCCCTCCCCTAGTAGTCTCTCCTGTCAGCACCTCCCCATAGTGGTCTCTACTCCACCCCCCCACCTCCCTTAGGGGTCTCTACTCTACCCCCCACCTCCCTTAGTGGTCTCTCCTCTCCCCTCACCCTTAGTGGTCTCTTCTCACCTCCCACCCCATAGTGGTCTCTCCTCCACCCCCCCTCACTTCCATAGTGGTCTCTCCTTACCCTCCATAGTGGTCTCTCATCCACCCCGCCTCCCTTCCATAGTGGTCTAAGGGTGGGGGGTGAGGAGAGACCACTAAGGGTGGGGGGAAAGGAGAGACCACTAAGGGAGGTGGGTGGGTGGAGGAGAGACCACTATGGGTGGGGGGAAAGGAGAGACCACTAAGGGAGGTGGGTGGGTGGAGGAGAGACCTCTATGGGTAAGGAGAGACCACTATGGAAGGGAGGCGGGGTGGATGAGAGACCACTATGGGGGTAAGGAGAGACCACTATGGAAGTGAGGGGGGGTGGGGGAGAGACCACTATGGGGTGGGGGGTGAGAAGAGACCACTAAGGGTGAGGGATACCCCCCCTCCCTTAGTGGTCTCTCCTCCACCCCCCTACCTCTCTTAGTGGTCTCTCCTTACCCCCCCAAAGTGGTCTCTCCTCCACCCCCTACCTCCCTTAGTGGTCTATTCTCACCCCCTACCTCCCTTTGTAGTCTCTCCTCACCCCCCCATAGTGGTCTCTCCTCCACCCCCTACCTCCCTTAGTGGTCTCTCCTCACCCTCCACCTCCCTTTGTAGTCTCTCCTTACCCCCCCTCCCATAATGGTCTCTCCTCCACCCCCACTCTTAGTGGTTCTCCTCACCCTCCCATAGTGGCCCTCCCACAGCCCCACGCCCCTTAGTGTGGTCTCCTCACTCTACCATAGTGGCCACTCCGACCTCACCTCCCCTGGGCGTGGCTCCTCCTCACCCTCCATAGTGTCCTCTCTCCTACCCTCCCATGGTGGTCTTTCCTTCACCCCTCTCTCCTATATAGTGGTCTCTCCTCTCCTCACCTCCCACCTCCCTCCCATAGTGGTCTCTCCCCCCTCCCTCCCATAGTGGTCTCCCCTCCATTATCCTCACCCCCCCTACCCTGTGTAGCATGACCGAGCTCCGGTCCAGTCCACGGTACAGAAGCTTCTGTTTCCTGTACCCGGACGGAATGACAGGAAGTGCTCACTGAGTGAACACTTCCTGTCAGTCCGGCCGAGTACAGGAAACGGATGCTCCTGTGCCGCGGACCGGAGCGAGCTTGGCCACGCTATACTGAGGGAGTGGCAGGAGGGAGCGCTGTGCGCTACCCTTCTGCCAATCCCTCATATCTTGTGCCCCTAGGCTGGTGCGCCCTAACGGATGTGCCGGCCCGGACAGAGCTGCAGCCGCCTGAGACTCTCTATAGGCTCTTCCAAAGTGCTGCCCTAATCACTGTTGCATATCTGTAGATACAGAGGTCGTTTAGATATTCATTACCTTATAGTAACTCAGCAAAAGAGCTTTCGAGTCAGGCAGATATGTAGAACAATATCTCACTATCTCACTCTCAATTCTAAAGATCAGAATATTAAAACACTGTGTGTCTTGAAAAATTTGTTTTGTTAAAAATCTTAAATGGTAGATTATGCTAACATAGTGTACCTGCAATCTTAATTTTAGTAATGACAGGAGGTGAGTATTTGCATAACTTTCTTTACTATAAATCTTCAGCAGCACAGATCAATCAAGTTTAACCCCTTAAGGACCAAGCTTCTGGAATAAAAGGGAATTATGACATGTCACACATGTCATGTGTCCTTAAGGGGTTAAACTAATCAAAAATAAGTAACGTCCCATATATAAGATAGGCCAGCCCCCAATTCTTCCTCTTTCTTTAATGTGAATGAAGATAGTCAATTTTACATAAACGAAGAACTGATGAACTTGATAAACGTCCAGTTAAGTCCGGAAACAATTCTCTTTGACAGCCGGAACTTGTCCACCTGGTATTACATGGTATTTCATACTAAAAAGAAGAAGAAACAAGTTAAAGGAACTTGTAGTGTACTCCATCTAATATATATACTGTGAACAGTACTCATTATATTAATAGATTAGACTCTAGAAATATGAATAGTTATATATCTAGTATAACGACAGTAAGTAAGTATAAATTTACTCATGTACATTCTGATAATATGTATTCAAACACATAAAACAACCATACTATGGAAAAGAGAGACAAATATGAGAGAAACTTGAAAAAAGGGGATGGGGACAAATAAGGGGGGGGGTAAATACTCACCTCCTGTCATTACTAAAAGTAAGATTATAGGTACACTACGTTACCATAATCTACAATTTTACCACATGACAGCAGGTTTTTATATTTGCATTTTTAACGCTAATCAAGAAGAGAAAAAGAAGCATGAGAAGAACAGAAATAGAAAACTCGAAACATATCTTCCTGAGACCAACCCACCAATCACATGATGTTAATGAGAGATGCACCCGACGTTAAAGCGCGTGTAGCCGCCGCGCCCCGTAGGGAATGAGCTCCAAAAGACGCTTCAACTTCTGGCAAGGATATTATCCAACATACCCATCTTGCGAGAGTAGTCATAGACACCGGTTTGTGTGGTTTGGCATAAGACACGAGAAGATGACCTGATTGAGAAACCCATAAAGGTTCAGTAATTACTATGTAGCGCATCAACGTCCTGACCACACAATGGTGTGGGGTTGTAGAAAAAAACGGGTAAAAAGGATAAACCATTTACGTCAAACACGCTAACGTCTGCTACTCAACAGAAAGATACCAGACAAAGTAACAGAATTTCGCCAAGAGTTGGCGCAAGACAAAGATATATTGTCCGTCCAGTTCCGTAAAAAACGCATGACCACCTCAACATCCCAGAGTCTGGAGTATTTTGGTTTTGGTGGGCGTGATAGGCATATATCTCTCAGTAGTCTGTAGATCAAAGGATCTTGACCCACTGGGAGACCCTGAACCGGAACGTATGCAGCCGAAATCGTGGACCGCGTGACATTGATGGATCAATATAAATGTCAAAAGGAAAAGGAATGTGATAAAAGATCATAGGAACAGGTGCTGTAAAGGGATCGGAATCCCTCTCCAAACACCAGCTAGACCATTTGTTCCAGGCTGCGAGATAGCAGCGTCTGGTGCCACGTGCCCATGAGTCCCATAATAGATCCTTAGTGACCTGTGATAATCCATCTGTTGACCAGGATCCCCTGAAATCTCCCAAGCTACTAGTTTCAGATGTTCTTGTAGGACGAGGAGGTGAGGTTCCACTTGCGGGTCGGTCAGCAGAAGTGGAAAGGATGGTACGAGGAGTGGATAGTCGCACGACAATTCCAGAAACCACGGTTGGCTCTGCCATAGGGGTGTCAGTAAGAGTAAGGAGCATCCTTGAGTCTGTACCTGGTGGATCACCCGTGCCAGTATGGAAAAGGGGGGAAAGGCATAGGCTCCCTGTTTTAGCCAGTTCTGGAGAAATGCGACCACCGCTTCGCATTCCGTGTCTGGTAGCTAACTGAAGAACCTCTGAAGTTGTCAGTTGGTTAGAAATGCAAAAAGGTCTACAATCAGTGGACCTCTGAGATTCAATAGAGTATTGAATATCATTTTGTTGAGAAACCAGTCGCTGTCGTCCCTCCAATGTCGGGAATATCAAGTCGCTGTGAGGTTGGATGTTCCCTGTAGGTATTCCACTTTCAGTGTGATATTGAGGGATAGAGAGAAACTGTAGATGTCAGATGCCAGAGCCTGGGATCGAGCTCCTCCCAGGCGATTTACATATTGGCCTGGCGAGATGTTGTCCATGCGTAGCAGTATGCAGTAGTTGTACATGTGACTGGCCCTGCTGCGTATGGCAAAGGAGCCCACTATCAACTCCAAGCAGTTGATGTTCAAATACATTTCTTCTTCCAACCAGGGACCACCTGTAGAGGATCCTGCACAATGAGCTCCCCAGCCCCATAGGCTGGCGTGAGATTCCAGCATGAAATCCGGTGTGGGACCAAATATGGCTTTCCCACTCCAGGCTTGCATGTGGAGGAGCCACCAACGAAGTTCCATCTGAACTTGAGGGGAATCCAATGATCGTAAGACATTTCTGTAAATAAAGGGAGAGCCTGTCTGCAGTCAAAATAGAGACATTGGTATGAGGGTTTGGACTCTCCTTTGGAGGGAACGTCCTCATCCTCTTCCTCGGTAACCTCTGGCTATGTCCATACCTCTGTAGTAGTTTGGTGTCCATGAGGTTGATGTCGGATAGAACGAGGATGAAGGAGGGTTTGGCTTGGAGCCCGAATTCCAGAATCGACTGTGGCTCGGCTCCTCTGCCGACCAGCCCATCCAAAAACACCCTGGCCTGGAGGTCAGCGAAACAGTTGTCTCAGTGATGACTGCGCTTTATTTAGGGTGGTTAATAAAGAGACATGTTTCTTCAGTTCGGCGAAAAGAGTCTCCAAATTGTTGTCCGTTTGCAGAGGATCCTAACTCTTTGTGTGCCATATTGATGAACTTTGCATCGATTCGGATGAGAGCCGTCTTGCGTCTTTCCGTACACAATGCAGCTTTGACATTGCCCATCATACATATGCTGAGTTGTGCCCATTCTCTGATCGTGCTGGGATCGAGTTGGGTACCTTGTGATCGGGCCAGATCTGCGAAGTAAAAGATGTTTGCGATAGGGCCCAACAGATCCAGCAGTTTGTCCTGTGTTGACTTGAGGCCTTTCTCCACCCCTTTACGAGGGTCATGGCCGATTCTTGACATGAATACGTCTGGTCAAACTCGGGTGTCAAATCTATTTTGTCTGGCAGACTTGGGCGTGGGCATTCAGCTCTCTACTGGCTACGCGCTCTAGGGGCTTGCCTAGCCAGTAGTGGACACATTTTGGCAGGTGTGGTGGTAGGGTTCATTCGGAGGGCCGAGGGTGGCGAATGGTTTGTGGATCAAAGAGAGGATAGCCCTTTGTGTCCAGAAACTGCCTATCATCTTCTGTGAAGGAGTCCAGTGTCTCCTGAGTGAAGGGCTCTCCATCGTATCATTCTTTCACATATTTAGTGTCAGAGGCGGCCATGTCTAGCCAGTTATTCTCGTCTTCTTATTCGGAGATGTCTGCGCGCTATTCATCAATGACATCTTGAGCTGCTGAGGGGTAGGTCTCGCCATCCTCCAAGGAAAGCACTGGTGGTGCTACATTACGAGGTGCATGCTTACTGCATTTAGCAGGAGTCTTCCCTGTTGCCTGAGAGGGTGGCATGGGGAGCCCGGCTCTTTGGCGTTTTGACAGGGAGTGGAGTTCCTTGGAAGGAGCCTCCGAGCCCAAATTATCTTCCGCGTCATGCGGTGTCGTCCCCATATCTTGTGTAGTGGGTTTATGATGGGATTTCAACATGGTTCAAAATTTAGTAGGCCTGAAATCTCCATGTGGCATATACAAGTACAGGTGTTTGTTGTATCTGTTAGTTAGTTACATGTAGCTAAGATACTGTCATCAATGTACTGAGCATGTGCATCAACTGTAGTCACATTCCTTTGTCCTAAAAAGGAGTCATATGGTCTGCCCATATTAGGTGA